GAGAGAGAGAGAGAAAGAGAGAGAAAAGAACGAGTAGAGGAAAAAAACGTTTCGTTACGCGTATTTCTAATTAATTCCAAGTAACTCCAGTATATCTTCGTATATTCCAGACTATACGTCAAACGTCATGACATCTTGACAAACTTTATTTGATACTTATCTCCGAATAAAGACGAAGAGAGAGAGAGAGAGAGAGAAAGAAAAGAAAACGAGAAAAGAAAACAAAAAAAGAAAGAAAGAAAGAAAGAAAGAAAGAAGGAAGCTGAAAATAAAAATAGGAGGGGAAAAAAGGAAGGGAAAAAATTAAGAGGGCAGACCTCTTTCGTGTTTCTAATTCAAACGTCATTGGAGCTAGAAACGCGGCCCATTAATGGAACCTTCGTTCGAAGGAAGTACGCGGGTTAGAGGGGTTAAATGACGCCGTATATCCGAGGTAACGTCATGAAATCGTGGCTTGTTTTCCTTTACGGCCGTTTCTAGAGAACCACTTACGCTGCACGTACCCGCGTACATTAAAGCACGCGCGCTGCCAACCTTTTTAATGCGTTTTTACAGCATTTGCGTTTCTTCTACCGCTTCAACGAATGGAACACCATCTACGTCTTGCAAGATCAACCGATTCCTAACCTTTTCCGTGCCGTGGAAAATTGAAACGTATCATCCGAGATATAGATGATGGAGGCTGGTTTTTCCCGTTCCGACAGCTCTCACAGGATCGAATCGCTCCTCTCGGTTTAAATATGGCGCAAGTTCGGAATGTTACTCGACGAAGTAGCTGGTATTAGAGTTATCGATTTTGCTAGAGTCGGAAAGTTACTATTGGCTAGAGCTTGATAAATCGTGATCGCGAACCAAGAAGAAAGTTCCAGCCGTAGTTTCGATTACCCAAACGACGATCAATTGATCAAATATCGTATTAATGGAACGTGGTATTATCTAATAAGGTAGAATAAACACTCGCATCGCATAGACGTCAATTTACGCTATTCTATAGGGCTTGTATAATTACTAGATATTTGTCGAGCCAACATGTCTGGCGTAAATACTAGAAACGTACCGATTATCAACGATCAAAATTCAAACAGCACTCTTTATAAACATCTTTCCTCCATCGATCCATTTTGTTTGTTTCTTTTTTTTTTTTTTTCTATCGATAATCAAAATTATCGACACGTAGTTCGAACGTCATAGGAGAATAACCAAGATATCGATATATAATAAAATTTCCAAAAATTCCAGGAAATCGATTCCAGGATCGCGCTCAATTTAAAGCAAGTCGTCGTTGCTTGCCATCCAGATTGATTCTACGCGGAAAAAAACGGCGCAAAACGAGATAACAGAGTGGTAATAGCATCGATCGTAATAAGTAACGAGACGTTTTTCTGGAGAACGACAGATGGCATTCGTGGAGAAACGTTGAACCGTACAATTATGCGGTTACGTCCGTTCGGTGGTTAGGTGGGGATCCCCGGTCGTAAGTTTCCATCGGATCGTTACTCCACCGGCTGGTGAGAATCATTACTCGACTCGCCATTATACGACTCGCTTTTTGCTCGTCGCGTGGGTGTGCTGGCCATGACGCGCGTAATCGTAAACAGCCGTGACGTGGCGAGACGGAAAGAGCAAGAGGATTTGATTGGACCCTGGGTTCCGTTTGCTTATCTACACCGCGATTCCGAGAATAATACGAAATCGCACGTTTCTCTCACTTTGTATCATATAATTGACACGAGTTTTGTTTTAGCCCCGAGATGTAAGCCGATTGTTCTTATTACACAGCGAGATCGGCTCGTCAATGAAATACGACACAATAGATACGAAAGATAGATTCGAAACATATACGCCGCGTCGAGTAGCGTAACAGTTTATTATTTTATCGATTCTTTTCATTCTTTCTTCCCGTTTCAATTTCACCACCGTATTCAAACCCTCTCCCCTCCCGCTCTTTCGAAAGCACGACAACGAACGAATATCCTCTTTAAACTCGAAATAGACGCGAATTTTCGATGATACGGAGATACTTTACGAAATGTATTTCTTCGAAAATCATTCTCGTAAATAACCGCCAAGGCAACGTAGTTCATGGCTTTCGTACGAAAAGAAGTCAAGAGAGATTTCCTCGCGGTGTCTCCTTTACGCGCTCGTAAATTACATCCGCGGATCTCAAAGTGATTCTTCTCTTTCCAACAACGTGGCATCCTCGTCTTTGTCGATCCTCGAACGATTTCGAGGCTCTTCGGGTAGAAAATAGACGTCACGATCTCTCTCTCTCTCTCTTTCTCTTCTCCTCCACGAGAAGAGGTTCTCGTTGTTACAGGCCACGTTTTCGAGTCACCGCGCGAGCAACCGGAAACAAATAAGATCGAGAGTCCTCTCCCCGTATATTTCCAGACACCGTGCCCTTTTTTTCTTCCTTCTCTTTCTCTCGTTCCTTCTTTCCTCCCCCTTCCTCCAATGCACGGACGGCGCATTGGTAAATTTAAATGCGCTCTCGGTCACGAGACGAAGAGGAGTAAGCAAGTAGCGCGCGAGTACGCGAGGGATCGTGAGCGCGTGCGTACTCACGCATACGCACGTGTTAAGATCCTCCCTCCGTCTCTCTCTTTTCAAAGGCCGCGAGAGGCCTGCGCACGCCTTTAAATATAGAATATGGAGCAGCACCTTGCCCGCCACCGCGCCGCGCGATGGGATTGTGCAAGCGTAATTTTCTGTTCCTTACTCTCACCACGTGTCGTTCTTCTTTCCTTCCAGTTTTACGATACGCGACCGAGTCTCTCCCGTAGGTCCTCCCCCTCTTTGTGTTTTCTTTCGAAACAGATTCTCTCTCTCTCTCTCTTCTCTCTCTCTCTCTCTC